TTTTTTTTTTTTTTTTTTTTTTTTTTTTTTTTAAAGTACTGGGGATTGAACTTGGGGCCTTATGCTTGTGAGGCAGCCGGCAGAACCATTGAGCTAAATCCCTGGCCCTGAGAATTTTCTTTCAAAGTGCACATGTTGAGCCCTTGATTCCTGAAGGTGGCAGTGTTGGGAGGTAGCGCCCAGTAAGCAGTGTTTGGGTCCTGCAGAAAGCACCCTTGTGAATGGAATATGCATCCCCCGACACAAGTGGATCTTCTTGGTAGTGGTACTGGGCTCTCTCCCAAAAGTAGGGTATTATAAAGCAAGGTGGCCCGTCATGCCTTTTCTCTCTGCTGCATGTGCCCCCTTGCCTTTGTGCTTTCTGCTATCAGCAAAAGTGGAAAAAGGCCCTCTCCAGTACTATGCGTTAGACTTCCCAGCCTCTAAGATCATGAAACAAACTAACCTCTTCTTCTGTATAAATTACCTAAGCTCATGCATTTTGATATTACAACAGAAAATGGGCTAAGATAGCCTCCCAAAACATGCAGGTGCTGTCAAAGCCAGACTGTGGGCTGGTTGGGTCTCCAGAAGTCACTGAGTCTATCTCTATCACCACAGGAACCTCTCTGCATCCTTTAATGGGGGATGTGGCAAAATTATCACATCTAGGGCCACTGTGGTCACATCTGCCCTCCTTTTCTCCTGGGACAACTCTCCAGAGCTTCACTCAAGGTTCATGTTGCATCCTGAGTCTGGTCCTCCTCCTTCAGAACCCTCTTCATGGTCTAGGCCCAGGGGAAGTGGGGGGCAGTAAAGTGCCATATGGGACAGCCCCTGCAAACATTCCAAAAAGGATATAATGAGCCTAAACTAATTGCCAGAAGGTTCCTGGGGGCCAGCTAGTCCATCTTGTAAGTTATCTCCCTGGGCCTATTTCATTCTCATAAAAAAAAAAAAAGGAATAACAGTACCCATTTCCTGGAGATTAAATCAGGTAAGGTACAAAGAGATCTAAAGAAGAGTGCTTAAAAGGGATCTAAGGTCAATGTATACATATAATGTATACTTTTTTGTGTGTGTGGACCGGAGATTGAACTCAGGACCTTGTGCTTGCAAGGCAGGTGCAGTGCCACTGTGCTAAATCCCCAACCCTAACTGTATACTTTTATTATGATGATGCCTGCTCAAAGCAGACACAATACAAAGGGCTTCACATCAGCTACCCATCTAAGCTCTCCTGAGTCTGCCAAGGCCCATTGTGTCCTGGCTAAGGCACTTACCCTCTCTGAGTCTCCATTTCTTATCTCATTGGCTATAGTATAGTAGAGAGAGAAAGAACTTAGTACACAGAAAGTGTCAAGTCAACCATCCTCAGCTGAGCCTCCCCTTGGCAGGAAGCACCCCTCTAGCCAGCATGCATGGAGGTTGCCGGCCATCCTCCAACCTCAGATATAAGGTAATCAATCTTCATGCTCATGGACGGTGGTGAGGAGATTCCAGTCTGGAATATGGCAATTTTGCTGTGAGAAATGCAAATAAACTTGTTCTGTGGCTCAGCTACTGGGCAGTCTCCTCCACTAGGTCTTATGAGGCATTTCTGTTCTTCCAAGATACTCTTTTCCATTAACCACCACAGAAAACTGGGAAGGGAGACTCCTGCCATGGAAAGCTCCCAGGCACCCTGGCCGATCCGCTCTTGTGAAAGTACAGAGCACAGCAGTAGGATCTGGCAGGCAGTCCCTCCACCTACATTGGGAAACAGTCACTCACAGGTGCCCACCATGGTTCAAAGCTGGGAAAACAGGCAAGAATGCCTGCCTGATGGCCGGGAGTCCTGGGGAGGAAGGACGGGCAATGTCAGTTATCAATGGCTGGTGACAAGTGTCACAGAGGCAGCAGGGCAGGGTAAGCAACGTCTGTGTAAATATTGGAAAGGAAGGAGGGGAAGGATATTCTTGGCAGAGTGAAAATGGATATGGCTTAATATGGAGTGTATAAGACGCAAGAGTCTTGGTCACTGGTGCAGGGGCCAGATAACTGGGACTTCAATAATTGGGGGTTGGGGGGCTTGGTTCTGTCGTGAATGATATGAATAGAGTTTAGCATTTTGACGGGGAAGGGTTTAACCTAGCTCTTTTTAAACAGGACTGCTGCACTGAAAAGAGATGGGAGAGCAGGGAGTATGTGCGCCTCCTTGTACTTTCTACTGTTAACCTAAAACTGTTGTGAAATATAAAATTTAGTACTCATTGGACAAGATGGGTAGAGAAAGTGCACAGGGAAAGAGGGAAGGCCTCACTTGTGACACTGAGTGGAACATGAGAGAAATGTCAGAGGTGATGCAGGCTTAGGCCTAGGCACTAGGTGGATGGCTGGCACTGCTTTCAAAAGACTCCTGTGCACCTTGCCATCCAGTAGTGGTGGCCCTCGCATCACCACAGCCCTCTGCTCCCCGACCCCTCTGTCAGTGGGGATTTGGATGTCTCCCAGGCTCCTACTGAAATGCACAACCCCCTCACAGCACTGATCAGATGGTGTATATATTCCTGGGTGAGGGGAGCAAGGGGCGGAGGTCTTGACCTAAGTACCTGCTTTGCAGAGCCCTTGCTGGGTAACCTTGGGTGGGGGTGAGCAATGGGGCCAGGTAAGGGCCAGGTCACAGAGCCCCTTTCTAAAGAGCTTGAGCCTATGGATGGGATAACCAGAGAATGACAGTCTTAGGCTGGCTTTGAGAGGAGACATCTGCCTACTGATGGAGGAGTTTGAGGAACCCAAGAAATGGGGCTCCGGTGCAGTTGGGTGGTCGCAGGTGACTGAAAGAACACATGATCACCCATGGGCAAATCAGGGAGGATGACTGACTGTGTGGGGCACAGATTTCTGGCTTAAAGGACAGCATGGCCTCCACTAAGACGGAATTGGTGTGTGCTTCTTCATAATGACTCTTTCTGCTAACTCTGGGGCTGTCAAAAACAGCAGGAAGCAGCTCAGTAGTACTGGCATGGAGAGGACATGAGGCTCGAGTGAAGGTCAAGGCTTAATTTTAAATAGAGGCGCCAGAGAGAGAGACCAGATGAATTAATTGTAAGTCACTTGCACCTCTGGCATCCTGGAGCTCCAATGGCTAAAATCAGGATTGGGGATTTCCCTCCTTCCACAGAGGGAGGGAAAAGGAAGTGAGGACCAGAGACTCGGGGAGGAAACCAGCTCTGCGACACAACATATCTGGCCCTCTGGCACTTGTCTATCTAGGTCACCTGACTGCCTCCACTCACTCTCCAGGGGCCACCTCTTACAGGAAGCCTTCCCTGATCTCATCCTCTCCCAGATTCACCTGATCCTAGCCCATGGCACCCTGCTCACCAGTTTCCTTATTTGGCTCCTTGTGAATCCCCGAGGGCACAGCCTGTACCATATGTGACCCTGTACCTAAGCTTACTACAGTACCTGCAGGGTGACAGGTGCTCCATGAATGCTAAATGAAGAAGCTTAATGAGCTGCTGTTTTGCTTTACTGGGGAAAATGTATCAGTTTTGCTACCAGATAAATTGGATAAAACCTCAGAACATCCTAGTCAACACTAATTCCCCACTGAATTAATTTATGCATGCGCTGGCAAGCTCAATAAAGCAGCCATATATTTTAGAGAGAACAGGTGGTGATGAATGACAGACTTAATTAGGCAAATCATTTCACCTAAAATACAAATATACAAACTCCAAGGGCAGTGATTCGGCAGGCAAAGAAAAAAACATTTTTTAAGAACAAAAGCTACAGGCACAACTGCTTTCATCCCTTCTAATTAAGTTTCTCTTTAATCTGCAATTTAAAACAGCAATTCTTTTAATTTAGTGATTTTTCTGTAAAAGATAAAGATACAATCCCTCAAAAGAATATCCACATTTAGAGAAAAGATATGCTACCCCTGTGAGTTGTTAGAATGACAGAATCTAATGAATTCCACCTATAGGCAATTAAAAAGGGAAATGAGACTCAAGTGGGGAGGGAGACTCAACCCTGAGTAGGATGAGGCACTGGGAGCCCATGTGACTTGGTTCCAATGATGGAATCTGGTGGTGGTGGAGAGGTGGCCTGTTCAATGTCCTCTTGGGCTCAGCCAGCCAGCTAGACACCTCTGTCTTGCCCCAGATGTCTAACAGGTCAGTATAGGTGACAGGGCTTATCCTTGAAAAATCAATTTAAAGCCGGGCGTGGTGGCAAACGCCTGTAATCCCAGCACTCCAGAGGCTGAGGCAGGAGGTTCGCTGTGTGAGTTTGAGACCAGCCGGGTTACATAGTGAGTTCAAGGTCAGTCTCAACTATATAGTGAGACCCTATCTCAAAAAAAAAAAATCAACTCAAAGGTCTCCACATTCTGAGAGGCTTTCTTCATCTGGCTTGTCTGGAAGCCAGCAGCCCCTTTTCTACTTGTGTCATAGACTATATACTAACCAGTTCTGAAGTGTGGACGCTGGGAATGACAGAAGACTGAGCATCTCCATCAGCACCAACTCTCCTCATAACCCCACCACAGGGACAATGGGTGAGGGCCATAGGAAGGTGTGGAGGATGTTCCTGTCCAGGGTCTTGAAGCCCAGTGGCAGGGGAAGGTGAGCCCAACTGGTGCCAGATGACCAGGATCACCTTCAGAATACCTCGCTGTCTCTCACTTGCCTCCCGGCCTCTTGCTCCATCTCTATGATGTCCAGGGGCCTCCAGGATCTGGCACAAACGAAACACTGCTCTTCTGCAACACTTATCTGG